AGACCCTACGTACAACAGAACAAAACACTGCCTGGTCATACATCTTCACAATCCTTGCTATACCTGAGCACATTGCTGTGGCCACTGTGTCAGTCCATCTTGTTGAGGGTCTTCCCCTTTTTCACTGACCCTCCACCTTACCAAGCATGATATCCTTCTCCAGGGTATGGTCTCTTCTGACAACATGACCAAAGTAGGTGAAATAAAGTAAGGCCATTCTTGCTTCTAAGGAACATTCTAGCTTTACTCCTTCCAGGACAGATTTGTTTGTTTTTCTGCCAGTCCATGATATATTCAGTACTCTTTGCCAACACCACAATTCAAAAGCATCAATTCTTCTTTGCTCTTTCTTATTCATTGTCAAGCTTTCACATTCTCATGAGGCTATTGAAAATACCATGGCTTCAATTAGGCACATCTTTGTCTTCAAAGAGACATCTTTGCTCTTCACTGCTTTAAAGAGGTTTTTTTCAGCAGATTTGCCCAGTGCAGTACATCGTCTGATGTCTTGACTGCTGCTTCCATTGTTGTTGATTATGGAACCAAGTACTATGAAATCTTTGACAACTTCAATCTTTTCCCCTTTTATCATGATGCTTCTTATTGGTCCAGTTGTAAGGATTTTTGTTTTCTTTATTTGAGATATAAGCTGTACTGCAGACTGTAGTCTTTAATCTTCATCAGTACATGTTTCAAGTCATCTTCACTTTCAGCAAGCAAGGTTGCCTCGTCTGCATATCACAAGTTGTTAAGAAATCTTCCTCCAATTCTGATGTCACATTCTTCTTCATATAGTCCAGCTTCTCAGATTACTTGCTCAGCATACAGATTGAGTAAGTATGGTGAAAGACCACAACCCTGATCCTTCCTGATTTTAAACCATTCAATATCCCTTTGTTCTGTTCGAATGACAACCTCCTGGTTATGTACAGGTTCCTCATGAGCACAATTAAGTGTTCTGGATTTCCCATTCTTCTCAATGCTATTCACAATTTGTTATGATCCATACAATTGAATGCTTTTGCATAATCAGTAAATCACAGGTAAAATATCTTCCTGATATTCTTTGCTCTCAGCCAAAATCCATCTAACATCAGCAATGATATTCCTCTTTCCACATGCTCTTTTGAATCCATCTTGCATTGCTGGAAGTTCCCTATCCACATACTACTGCAACCATTTGTGAATTATCTTTTGAAAAATTTACTTGTGTGTGATATTAATGATATTGTTCAATAATTTTCACATTCTGTGGGATCAACTTTCTTTGAAGTGGGTACAAATATGAATCTCTTCCAATCAATTGATGAGGTAGCTGTTTTCCAAATTTCTTGGCCTAGGTGAGTAAGTGCCTGCAGTTCGACATCCATTTGTTAAAACATCCCAATAGATATTCTGTCAATTCCTGGAGCCTTATTTTTCTCTGATTCTTGCAGTGCAGCTTCAACTTCTTCCTTCGATACCATTGGTTCTTAATCATAAGCCATCTCCTGAAATAGATGAACATGGACCAATTCTTTGTTTGTACTGTGATTCTGTGTATTCCTTCCATCTTCTTTTCATGCTTCCTTCATTATTCAATATTTTGCCCATAGAATCTTTCAATATTGCAACTCGAGGCTTGATTTTTTTTTCTTCAGCTCTTTCAACTTGAAAAATGTTGAGTGAGTTCTTCCTTTTTGGTTTTCTAACTCCAGGCCTTTGCACATTCCAAATAATTGGCTTTCTTCTTGAGGTGTTCTTAGATATTTTCTGTTCAGCTCTTTTATCTCATCATTTCTTCCATTTGCTTTAGCTCCTCCTCTGCTCAATAGCAAGTTTCAGAGTCTCCTCTGGCATCCATTTTGGTCTTTTCTTCTTTTCCTGTCTTTTTAATGACCTTTTGCTTTCATTGTGCATCATGTTCTTCATGTCATCCCATAATTCATCTAGTTTTTGATGATCAAATCTATTTTTCAGATGGTCTCTAAATTAATATTTTGTTAGGGGAATCCATTTAAGCAGTTACTGCAATAACTCACACAAGAAATAGAGTACCATGCCCAGAATGTCAGGAGGATGTGAGAAGTAGTCAAATTCGGAAGGGATTTGGATACATTCTAAAGGAAACTACAAAAGGATGTCCTGAAAGATTGGATTTGAGCATGAAGGAAAAAATCAAATAGTAGAAATTTCAGGGCAGAAGAAGTTGCCATTACGTGAGTTAGGGAAGGGTGTGAGTGGAGAAGTTAGGGGTAATTTCAGAAGCTTGGTTTTGTCATGGTAAGCTTGAGATGTCAAGTCAGCAGGTTAACACATTGGGCATTCAGCTAAAAGGTCTGTATATTTGGTAGTCATTAGGGTAGGAATCATAGGGTCACTATGAGTCAGAATCAACTAGAGAGTACACAACAGCAACCACAACAGGGTAGGGGTGGTACTCAAATCTTTAGGGCTGTGTATTTCTTAACATTGCATAGAAAATTACACAAAATGAGTTGCTTAAAATAACAGAAATGTATTGTCTCACAGTATTGGAGGCTGGAAGTCTGAATTTGAGGTGTCAGGAAGGCCATGTTCTCTCTGGTGTCTCTAAGGAAAGATCTTTCTTTGCCTCTTCTAGCTTCTGCTAGCTCGTGGCAATCTTTGGTATTTCTTGGCTTATAGATATATGCTTTACTCCAATCTTTGCCTCTGTCTTCACTTTTCCATCTTCCCTCTGTGTTTCTTCTGTTTTTGGAAGGACACAACTCATGTTGGATTAGGACTTACTTTACTCAGGTATGACATCATATTAATGGAAACATCTTCAGAGACCCTGTTTCCAAACAAGGTCACATTAACACAGACTGGGAGGTTAGAAGTTTAGCATATATTTTGTGGGGACACAATTAAACTCATTACAGAAGGAAAAGATACTCTCTTTTTTTTTTCTATTTTAACAAGATGGGGACACTGTATGGTTGAAAGAGGTACTCTGTAGTGTCACTTCTCCACTCTCCCAGCAGAGGGTGGTATAAAGAATCTAGAATTCACCCGCCCAAAGTCATTTCCAGAGGCTGACCTTTTCCCTGGTTTGGAAGCCCTGGGGAAAAAGCTCATAATTAACCACCAATCCTGGGTCCTCACCCCAAGTCCTTAACTTCAAACTTCATATGAAATGCCTAAAACAAACACACATATAAGACACACACCTGGGTATCATATATTCTATATGTGAGTTGTTTCTCCATAATTGACTTTCTGACAGCTGCATTTATATAACATTTTTTCTGTGGTTTACTATTCCATCTCCCTATGTTAGTCTACTAGCATCCTCCCCAAGTCCTTCCAACCCAATGAAGAAGACATAAAAATAAATAAATAAATATATCTATAAGAACATACAAACAAAGTCTTTAAATCTCTTCACTGTGCAATCCTCAAATTGGAAAAGAAAGAAAATTTTATCTGCAAACATTCTTTAATCACTTACAAATTGTCTTATTCTCCCTCTAAAAAACACCAGCACAGCCACAACTAAAGAAATAGTACAGTCTAAGCAGTGGAAAAGTGTTGAAGAAAGGGGGGAATGTCAGGAGTGCTAAATTATAATTAGTTTTTCCTCAGTCTGCTGGGTAATTGTTGGATAGGAAATAATATAAAATTTCCAAAATTGATATACTACACAACTGTGTTCCAAAAGACGTTCATCAGTGAACTCCATAAACCAAATAAATTTGGAATCCTTGGATAAAATGGCACTAAACTAATTTCTTTTCCATGGGAGCATTAGCAAAAACACTCATGTGTTTTATGAATTTTCAAAAAGAGAATATATAATATATCATTTCAAACATTTGACCACAGAACCTTTTTTTTCTAGTAATGCATAACAACTTCTAGAAATAGTTCTCCTCTGAACACAGTTTGGGAAACATAGTCCCAATAAGTGGATGAGATTCTCAAAGATGAATAATGGTCGTCAAAGTTGGCAGAGCAAAACCAGGAAGTTCCCCTTCATCTGATCTTTGGCTTAACTCACAAATCTCCCTAACTATGGGCCTTTATTGAAGCAAATTCAGTTTGGTTTCAATAAATTTGCTTTTTAAAAAACGAAGCCACTGAATTATTAAATATTAACAGAGTCATTAAACATTCACATGGCAAGTCAATTCCCAAACCCTCAGCTGTCTCAGCAGTGTTATCACTGAATAACCGAAATTAATTATTTTAGAGACAATCATAATGAAAATTTATCCTAATCAAATGTCTGCCACGAAAGGACTGAAATTTTAGATCAATAATCATTTCATTTTATTCTTGAATCATTCAGAACAGTCAGCTCTTCTAAGCACAATGATTTGATGAATGGCATCACCCTTGCTGTGATTGAGCAATGTCTTTATTAATTTGCTTTCTACATTTTACACAACACAGAAGTTCATATAATACACTTATGCACTGAGTAAACACACACTAATAAATTTTAAAGATGTTTCAGCTAGTCTTTAATGCTATTTCTGTGTATTCTCCCTGAATTAAACTAACATGAGAATAACTATGCTTTGTGGGAAAGCAAGCCTCCCAAAACAATCAGAAACTTTTGAGAAATGCCTGACATCATAGTGTGTCAGCTCATAGCCTCACACTCACACAGAAAGGAATGACACATGGTTTTAGAAGCTATAGATTCGATGGCAGTGAGTTTAGAAGGCATTTTGTAAAAATATATTCATTAACTACAAATCTTTCATATTTCTATATACATTATTATTTAAATGGCATGAGAGATGCCATTATGATGGTAAGTGGAAAAAATCCAACTACACAACTAGGAGGCACATGTTTTCAAATACAAGTAAATATAGGTGATGTCTTAAAACATGAACAGTAATATACTCTGGATGATAGGATTTTTTTCTGTATACTTCTTTAATCATGAAAAAAAATGAATTATGTTTTCAAAAGAACTACTCTGTTACCTGATTGATACCACTAAACCCAAACTACAGCACTTAAGACACAAATTTATTAAGTTATTAAGAAATTCCAGGAGGCTCTTCTGGGTACAAAAGAAATCCAGCAAAAATGCTGTCATCCTCAGCACTGACATAGACACCATTCCAATCTTTTGAAGCTTCCAGCCAGACTTGGTCCCCTGCACTTAATTTCAGGATGATGAGGAGAGAGGCTTGGTCTATTTCTTGACCATAGAGAGTTTCTCTGGATTTGAACTGCTTCTTATTCTGAGCCACCAGGCTAATTCCAGCAGGACGACCCCTCACAGTGATGTGGTAGGAAAACACATATGCTCCAGGAATACTACAATTAAATTTTCCAGTGATGGGACTGTAATTTCCTTGGTCATTATAGAGAACTTTGTCGAATTTAATAGGGACGTTGGGAGGAGGAAAAGGCTTTGATAAAGCAGCACTGAAAGCTGACCTAGTGGCTCCAGCCACCTCACCCTTGGAGCCTTTAAGGCCACGGGAACCCTTCTTCCCAATAGATCCTCGGGCTCCTTTGTTCCCAATCTCACCCTTTGGCCCAGCTGGTCCCACAAGGCCAGGAGGACCTAGTTCTCCCTTTGCTCCTTTAACCCCTGGATCACCTTTGGCCCCAGGCAGACCATGTGGGCCACTTTTGCCTTCCATTCCAATGTCTCCTTTGCAACCTTTTTCTCCTTTCATGCCCTGCTCACCTTTCTGCCCTTTTCCTCCCCTCTCCCCAGAATCTCCACAGTAGCCCTTTGCCCCCATCTCCCCCTTCTGACCCTTGGCCCCGGGTTCTCCACGTAAGCCTGGTGAACCCTCTGCTCCTCGATCTCCTTTATCGCCTTTATCTCCTCTGGTGCCATTCACACATGCATCCCCTTTGGAGCCTTTTTGTCCTTTCATTCCTGCCAGTCCAATGCTTCCTTTATCCCCTTTAGAACCAAGGCTGCCTGAAACAGAAAATTAAAATGATGTTTAAGGATTGCACAGAGTATACACAACATGCTATTGCCACAAAGCTAACAAAATAAAAACAAAATCTTCTACCTGGGACCTGGAAAACTAATTCTGCCTCAGTAATGGCTGTGCCTGGGAAGTACCCTTGGTGGTAAAAAGGGTTTGCACTTGACTACTAATCAAAAGGTTGGAGGTTCAAACTCATCCAGAGTTACAAGGGAAGAAAATCTGGCAATTGGCTTCCATAAAGATTGCAGCCAAAATGCTCTATGCAGTATAGTTCTACTCCATAATACATGGGGTCACCATATGTTGGAATTGACTCTATGACAAAGCTTTCTTTTATTTGTTTATTTAGAGTCTCTTATACTAAGGCACTTGACTGCTAATCAGAAGGCTGGCGGTTCAAACCCACCAGCCACTCCTCAGAAGGAAGGTTGGGCAATCTATTTCCATAGTGATATCACCTCAGAAACCCAAGGAGGGGTCGCTGAGTCGGGTCCAACTCGACAGCACATAACAACGACTACAATACTAAGGAATTAATCTAATGTCACTGCCTCTTAAAAGATAAAGTTAATGCTGCCAAGAAAGAATAGCCTATATTTAGACCTCATATATAGAGTTGTTTTGTTTTGTTTTTTACATTTAAGAAAATAAAGATTAGTAGAAATACTGTTGCCCATTGTATTTCATTACCCTTTGCATTTTGGCTTAACCCAAATATTCTCCTAAGTCCCCATTTTTCCATCCAAACACAAAATCTTACAGGCAAAAAAAAAAAAAAAAAGAAAACAAAAACTGAGACCCAGAAAGATTCAAGTGTTTTCTTCCCAAGAACAATTAGAGCAGTGAGATCCTATATCTTTATCTGGTTTCTAAACTCCAGACCACTGCTGCTAACACTATGTCTAGTCAGTACACAGAATTATTAGAAAATAATACCAATTTATATTTTCATCTTACCCACTCAAAAAAAAAAAAAACTTACTGCTGTCGAGTCAATTCCCACTCATAGTGACCCCTGTTGGTTGGGATTCTGAGGATGAAGCTGTAACTCAGAAGTAGATTGCCCTGTCTTCCTTCCCTGGACTGGCTGATAGGTTTGAACCACTGGCCTGGTTAGCAGTCAAATGCCTTATCAACTATACCACCACAGCTCCTTATCTTCCCCACTGATGATAACTTTAAATACAAACAAGAAAAATAGGTGTCATACTCCACACATGCCCATACACAGTAGGTAATATTTTATGCTCTACCTTGTTCTCCCGGTTTTCCTGGATATCCTGGAGGCCCATTTGTTCCTTGGTCCCCACGTTCTCCTTTAAGACCTAAAATAACACCAAGATTATCTTTTATTTGCCAACTATTATTTATGATATACCTATCACCCATTTCACCATCATGTCACATTTAAATGGTTTAAAGATAAAATAGTGTGTGTGGGGGGGTACTGATATCCATTAAGTACACTTTATTATAATTAATAGTAAACCATTTATGGGAGATTTGGAGGCACTGCAAATTGCTTAAACAGAATTTATCTTTTCCTTCAGCATTCCCATAGAAACCTCTCATAAAACTCAGGACACTCATATATATATATATATATATATATATATATACACACACATATATATATAAACAAAAAAGCTCACTGCCATCAACCCCTCCTTGGGTTTCCAAGGCAGTATGTCTACAGAAGTAGATTGCCCAATCTTCTTTCTGACAAGTGGCATATATATGTATACAATTATGAATTTTGAATGACTGAATGTTTTCTTCTTTGCATGCCTGACAATACCTGAGAAAGAGTGCCATGTACCACACAAGTTTAATCCCAGAGCATGTATTCACAGTTGGCTACAACTAATCTTAACAAAAACCCATCCAGAAAAAAATTTGTCCTTCACATAAAACATCAGGAGCAGACAATTTTCGTTTGTGTTGTCATATTTTTCATATACTCTGTGGACAAATTATATAACTGTGACAATTTATGTTTGAAAAAATAGAGCAGTGCTTTTAGATATTTGCCTTCTTACCGTGACATGGGTTTCTATACCGGGCCTAGTCAAAAGCCCATCCTGTTACAGTGCAATCATACTGATTCATTTTAATTATAAATAATAATACCCATTGCCATTGCATTGATTCTGACTCACAGTGACAATATAGGACAAAGTAGAGCTGTCTCATAGGGTTCCAGGGCAGTAAATCTTTATGGAAGCAAACTGCCCCATCTTTCTCCCACAAAACAGCTGGTGGGTTCAAACCATGAATCTTTTGGTTAGCAGCTGAACATTTTAACTGCTATGCCACCAGAGCTCCTTATTAATAATAATAGTGATGATGATAATTGCTAACTCTTACTAAGCATTTGCTTTGTGCTAGGTATTGCTTCAAGCCCTCTACATGATTGCTTTTTTCTTTTTTCAATATTAATACAACTTCTCATATAGTAGAGAGGCTCATACAACAGAGCTCATTAATAAACTGGGACATTTTTCATTTACAAAAGTTTATAAGACCTCCCTCCAAGAAAGGCAGACCAGATATTTTTCCTACCACTTTTACCACAGGAAAATTGAAATATGAAAAAAAAAAGTTCAAAATGTGTATAAAGTCAAACATGACTACATTTAATATTGGCGGGCAGCATTTTGTCAACTATTCTATTTACAATTTATCTGACTTTTCAAAAATAATTCTAGGTTAAAAGAAATCTTGAGTCAAATTAGAAGTCTTGAGAGAAGAGGCCCCAAATTTCCTAAGACCAACGTGGAAAATCCCACCATCAGCCAGTCAGCAGAGCTTTCTAAGTTTATTACCACTCCACATAAAATACTAAATTTGGAAGGGATCCCTGAGCATGATAAGTAAAATGTTCGAATGCCTTTGGAGAGAACCTAACCCTGAATGGAAATGAAGGAGCAAATTTATTCCCAGTCTTTGTCAATACTCCAATATTGACCTTTACATCCACAATCACTCTGGTTCTCCAATTCCTTTAAGGAGTTCAACTGCTTACGCAGAGTTTACTCATCTCAAGTAGTGATTAACCAGAATACAGTCATTCAAGTCATTTATTTATTTATTTATTTATTTATTTGTTTGTTTGTTTGTTTGTTTGTTTGCTAACATCTTAGCCAAGAGTCCAACCTAAGTCTGGAAGTAAAAGTAAAGTAGAGTTGCCACTTGATAAAAAGAGACCAGCTGAATGAATTTCTACTTTTGATCCTTCATCAAAGCATATTCTTAAGAACTTTATCTTATGATACTTCTCTGCTTTTTCTTCTACTTCCAGAAGTCTAGTTTCCAAAATGTATGAATCACTAGGGAGGTTCATCACTCATCTTTATTTCACAGGCTTTTCTGCTAACGTAATTCAGCCACAAAAGGATTAAATGTTTCCGAGAATGAAAATCGCATAACTGACAAGTGTGAAGTAGCTCTCTCTTACTTTACCATCTTTTTTGAGTAATTACTTTACTGAATGTTCTACCAGAAATGAGTTAGGCAGTTCCTGAGCCATGTGAAGGGTGATGTATAGATGATATTAGGTCTTTTGACATGTGACACTGAGGCTAAAACCTTTAACTTGATGGATAGATAGTCTTTCTCCAGGCTGGCAGTATTCTCTGAGGAATTTCTAAACGTCCCAGTGAATTTGTAACCTTCTTTCAACATCTTTAAGCACTTACAGAATCAGGAATTTCCTGAGGCAGGAAGCCCTCTCTACTGAATACATCTCTGGAGTTACTGAATTTCTGAGCTGTAAAAGAGTTGTAGCAGTACTCATAGCTGCAAATCTTCTTTGCTAGCAGACAGGGTATAAATAAATATCTAGTCCACTCTTTTCAATTTCCTCGTGAAGTAAGGTGACTTGTCCAAGGTCACTGTTACAAACTTTGTCTCCTCAATTTTAATTCAGTTCTCTCCCACCTTTGACACTGCCTTTGGTTTCAGGGTAAAGAAAAGAATACATCATATTCTCCTTAGTAGGCAAGCTACCCACCTACACTGAATAGTCTGAAGTATTGCTTGCTCTCATTAATTCTAAACAGTAAGAAATTAATTCACATGGTGAGGAAGTGGGGGAGTATATAAGAAGGGACCTATGGCTTCCAGTGACTGGTAGCAGATGAGAGGTAGGAAAGCTGTATCGAGGGCTTGTATGTGTGTCTGTGTGTAATGTTACCAGGGAGGTTTAATTTTCTCAATTGGCTATCTAAGTTAACATTGTGAAATCAAATATAACTCACAATATACTTTACCACATTTTTTAACAATGGCCCACATGCAAGAAGCCAGTATTTATTTAGCAAGTCACTCTCCTGAAAAATGACACAGAGTCTCTCTTGAGTTTTTGACATAATAATGAGTAATTACATACCCTTCTCTCCTTTCTGGCCTTTTAGGCCTTGGGGCCCAAGGACTCCTGGTGGCCCCTGAATCCCCATTTCACCAGATTCTCCCTTTGGACCTGAAAATGGGATGTAAAAATCATCAGGGTAGAAAAGTGCTCTTTTGAAATCCATTTGTGCAGGGAAAAAAAAAAAAAAAAGAAAAAAACCATTTTGTTGAGACCAGTAACAGTCAATGTCCTAATGATAAAATCTGGGTGAAAATAAACTATTACAGGGCTCTAAGGACAATATTTTTGTCTGATTTGCAATTTTGTATTACCTGAATAGATAAATTGAATCCATTAGTACTTGTCATTGGATTCATGGCAGTAAGCAAATGACTCAAGGAAGCAATACTATATCAAATAAGAACAAAATGATTATCTGACAGTTAACCTCATGTGGACCACACTTTCATATTGTAAGGAAAAATATATTACTTAGCACTTTTGGATTTCCGAGCCATTCATCTGTTTATTCATTCAAGAACTTTTGCTTAGACCTCCCAACATCTTGCTAGGTTTTAGGAATGTAGCCTTTGATAATTTTGGCAGGATCTACCGTTATGGAACTGAGAGTCCATTAAGGATAAACACTGAGCACGTAACCAACCACACAAATAAATGGAAATTGCCACACTGTGGTTAGTGAGCTCTGGTGGCATAGTATCTAAGGCATTTGACTGCTAACTAGAAGGTTGTCAGTTCAAATCCATCAGCCACTCCACAGAAGAAAGATGGGGCAATCTACTTCCATAAACATTTACCACCTTGGAAACACAATGGAGGTAGCTATGAGTCAGAATGGACTCAATGGCAGTAAGTTTTTTGTATGTTAGTTTCTTTATTTGTTTGGGGGGTTTGAGTTAGTGATATAAAGAAAAAGTAGGAAGGTTCTATTGTAGATTACAGTAAAAGACTCTAATTTATCTGTATAGGGTCAGAGAAGGCCTCCCTGAGAAAATGACATTTGCCCAAGACTCACAGAAGGAACTAGGAGTTACCAAGGTAAAAATAAATAAATAAATGAATAAGTGGACACGTATTTTGAGAAAAGCAAAAATGGAAAAATCCATGGAGTCTTTAAGAAACTGAAAGAAGAGCACTATGGCTGAAACCAGAGGTTTAGGCTGAGGTAGGCAAACCTCAGACCTCATTGGGTGCCTTAACTCCTATTCTTGCTCATACAGGAAGTCCAGGTCCCCTGCCACTCACCTGGTCCACACAAGGACTGCAAAACTAAAGTAATTATTCCTTCCTGCAACCTAGCCCTATTCAAGCTTGTTCTCAGCCCTTGTAACAAAGCCTGATTGGAATAATTCATACCCAGATTTTTTTTTTTAAGAGCTTGTTTTACATTCAATGTTATGTGTGCATTTAGTCTCACTCCCCATTTACCATGCCCAACCTAACCCAGTCTCCTCCCCTCCCTACCCCGTAATCCTCTCCCTGTGCCCTTCATATTTATGCACTCCTGCATTTCCTCAATTTGAATGTTGGTCCTCTGGTGTCCAGTGGTCTACCGCTCTAAGGGATGTATTACCATAGAGTATGTGGGTGTGTCATCCTGAATCGAGTGGTCTGTGTACAAAACTTCTTAACTATTGGGCTGAGAGCTACCCTCTGGGGGTGTGTTTTATTCCAGGCACAGAATGTATTCCCAGGGCCATAGTATTGGGGGTTTCGCCAGATTTCATCTGACCACTAATTCTGGTCATTATTGAGTTTTTGGATTTTGTTCCACATTTTCCCTTCCACTCTATCCAGGATCTCTAGATTTGATCCTTTCCTGAGTGGTTTCCTGAGTAGCCGGGCACCATCTAGTTCTTCTGGTCTCCAGGGCCATTGTGTTCTATGGCTGATTGCTTCCAAATGCCCTTGTTCTGTTTTGTTTTGTTTTTTGCATCCTTCTTCACTTCTGACACTAGAAGGCCATTGGCTGCATCTTAGATGGCTGCTTGTAAGCTTTTAAGACCCCAGTTGCTACTCACCAATGTAGGATACAGAACAAGGCTTTTATGTATTTTGTTGTGCCAATTAAGTCTGGTGTCCCCCAGTACTATGGTCTTGAGACAGTAGATCTATTGGATCTCTCTCCCATAGTGTATGGTTATCTGTGTCTGTCTTCTATTGTTTCTGTAAGGAATGCAGGTATTTTGTACCACTGGTGTCTGTGCAAGATTAGCCTCAGCTGAATCTATCCTTGATCTAGAGTATATTCCTGTTCACTGAATCCCATCTGATCCTCTCAGGTGTTTATGTGTTTTTCTGTAGCCTGGTGTTTGGTGTTAATGGCAATGCAGTATTGTGGAGACATTGGTTGGTATTAGTGTCTGTCGTCTATCCCTTATGTGCACAATTCGGTGTCCTCCCATTTCCTAATGTTATCATGGTGGTCACAGATCCTTCCCGTATATCCCTCCTCCACCCACGGGTCAGTGTGTGGGCCCCAACTAGCCTGAAATTCATCCCTCCCCTTCCCTCCCCATCCCGGTAATCTACTAAGTGAGTTCCCTTTCCCAAGCAAACCCTTCTAAGTCCTTTTACAGTAATGGGCTCATACAGTACTTGTCTTTCTGCAATTGATTTATTTCACTCAGCATAATGTCCTTCGGGTTCATCCACGTTGTGAGATGATTCGCATATCCCTCATTGTTCTTTAATGTTGCATAGCATTCCATTGTGTGCATGTACCATAATTTGGTTACCCACTCATCTGTTGATGGGCATTTAAGTTGTTTCCATCACTTTGCTATAGTGAATTGTGCTGCAATGAACATAGGTGTACATATGTCTGTTTTTGTGCTATCTCTCACCTGTTTAGGATAAATTCCTAGTAATGGGATTGCTGGGTCAAATAGTATTTCTATTTGCAGTTTTTTAGGGAAATGCCATACTGTTTGCCACATGGTTGTACCATTTTACAATCCCACCAGCCGTGCACAAGAGTTCCAATCTCTCTGCAACCTAGCCAACATTTGTTATTTTCTGTCCTGTTGAATTTTGCTGTTATTGCTGGGGTGAGATGATATCTCATTGTTGTTTTGATTTTCATCTCTAATGATTAATGATCATGAGCAATTTCTCATGTGTTTGTTGGCTGTCCATATATCTTGTTTGGTGAAGTGTCTGTTCAAGTCTTTTGCCCATTTGTGAATTGAGTTATTTATCTCTTTGGTGTTGAAGTGTTGAAGTTTTCGATAGATTTTGGAGATAAGTCCTTTGTCAGATATGTCATAGGCAAATATTTTCTCCCAATCTGTAGGTTCTCTTTTTACCTTTTTGTTGAAGTCTTTTGATGCACATAAGAATTTAATTTTTAAAAGGTCCCAGTCATCTAGCTTCTCTTCTATCTCCGGCACATTCTGGGTTATGCTTGATAGTCTATTTATGCTGTAAATTAGGGCTCCCAGATTTGCCCCTATTTTATATTTGATGAATTTTATAGCTTTGGGTTTTACATTTAAGTCTTTGATCCAGCTTGAGTTTGTTTTACTGTATGGTGTGAGGTATGGGTCTTGTTTCATTTTTCTACAGGTAGATATCCAGTTTTGCCAGCACCACTTGTTAAAGAGACTGTCTCTTCCCTATTTAATGGGTTTTGGACCTTTGTCAAGATCAGTTGTCCATAGATGGATGGGTCTATATCTAGACATTCAATTCAGTTCCATTGGTCTATCTGTCTATCATTTTACCAATACCATGCTGTTTTGACTACTGTGGCTGTATAGTAGTTCTTAAGATCTGGGAGTGTGAGACCTTCCATTTTGTTTTTCTTCTTCAGAAGTGCTCTGCTTCTCCAAGGTCTCTTTCCTTTCCATATGAAATTAGTAATTAGTTTTTCCATATCCTTTAAAAATTTTGTTGAAATCTGGATCAGGATTGCATTAAATGTATAGATTGCTTTAGGTAGTGTTGACATTTTTACAATATTCAGTCTACCTATCCATGAACAAGGTAGGTTCTTCCATTTATGTAGTGCCCTTGTTGTCTCTTGAGCAATGTTTTATAGTTTTCTCTGTACAGGTCTTTTGTGTCTCTGGTGAGGTTTATTCCTAGATATTTTACCGTTTTAGTAGCTATAGTAAATGGTATTGTTTCCCTTATTTCTTTATCAGAGGACTCTTTGTTGGTGTAGAGGAATCCAACTGATTTTTGTATGTTGACCTTGTATCCTGCCACTTTGCTGAACTTCACTATTAGTTCCAGTAGTTTTTTATCGAGTCTCTTGGATTTTCTATGTACAGGATCATATCATCTGCAAAAAGAGATAGTTTTAGTTCTTCTTTGCCAGTTTGTATGCCTTTTATTTATCTTTCTTGGCTTATTGCCCTGGCCTATACTTCCAATACAATGTTAAACAGAAGTGAGGGTAGAGAGTTTCCCTGTCTGGTTCCTGTTAGTAAGAGGAATGCCTTGAGTCTTTCTCCATTAATAATGATGATGGCCATTGACTTTGCAGATATACCTTTTATTATGTTGAGGAATTTCCCTTCTCTCCCTATTTTATTGAGAGTTTTGAATGGGAATGGATGTTGGATTTTATCAAATACCTTTTCTGCATTGATTGATATAATCATATGGTTCTTTTGTTTTGTTTATGAGGTGGATTACAATGATTGATTTTCTGATGTTAAACCACCCTTGTAAACCTGGTATGAATCCCACTTGGTCTTGGTGTATTAATTTTTTGATATGTTGTTGGATTCTGTTGGCTAGGATTTTGTTAAAGATTTTTGCATCTATGTTCATGAGTGATATTGGTCTATAGTTTTCCTTTCCACTGGTGTCTGCCTGGTTTGTTATGCTTGCTTCATAAAATGACTTTGAGAGTATTCCATCTTTTTCTATGTTCTGAAATAGCTTGAGTAGCATAGGTGTCAACTCTTCTCTGAGTATTTGATAAAATTCTCCAGTGAAACCATCAGGGCCAGGGCTTTTTTTATGGGTAGTTTTTTCACAAACTGTTCGATTTCTTCTTTTGTTATAGGTCTGTTCAAGTTTTCTATGTCTGAGTGGGATAGTTTAGGTAGGTCTTTTGATTCTAGAAACTTGTCCATCTCTCCTAGGCTCTCAAA